AATAGAGCTCTAATTGTGGAGCAACCTCGGTCCTGCACCTCGTGGACCCAATCGCTCTCTTTCGGATTCGAAGACTCGATCTGTAGCTCGACACTTGATCGGGGGTTGCTCGTACCTGGAGATCGTACGGCAAGTTGAGGCTAGTGGCTGACGGCGCGGGGCTTCTATGAGACTCGCCGACAAGCGCCGATGCGAACGTCACCACGTTGGAAATCTTCGCCAGCGCGCATGCGTCCGAAGCGACCAAACGAGGTGACGTAACTGGAGCTTGCCGTACCCACTTCTTTGGCCCAAAGCTCGTGATCAAGAAGCGACTGCTCTCGCCGCACCGGCCTTGGTACGACCCAGTGGCGCCACGAGAAGTAATTATTGACCGGCGCACTTGTGTCCACGTCAAGCACCTCCGTTACAAAGCCATGACTGCGAGCCCACTCGACGGCGATGGCCCATTGGCATGCGGCGACAGCACCCACACCGCACCAAACGGCGTCTCGGGAGTTGTGGTACATTCCCTGGTATGGTAAAAATGTTCACAGCCCTAATCTCCGTCAAGTTGCTCATAGAAACGACGGGCTATTTCCAGCTCTTTCCATCGGTTCCATTTTCTAATGCGACGACCGTCGTTGCCGCTTGTGACGCCGAGCAGCGCGTACGGCCCGCTCGTGGACGAGCCGCCCGCCAAGCGGCCGCCCAAGAAGCGCTACATGCACAACTGGGAAAACATCTTTGGCCACCACTCGGCGCGCTTCTCCATCAGCAGCGTCGTTGCGCTTGTGCAAAAGGAAGGCAAGACCGTTCTCTTCCTTGTGCTGCTCGGCGCCTCGGGTACGTCGCCTTCTTCGTGTCGTCTTCATGCAGCATCACGGAAACGATGCTAGTCTCGGTGCTCGACTATGGCATCAACGAGGCCATCGTCGGCCTCAAGTGGCTCCAGACGCGGTTTGTCGCGGCCATCGTGCACGCTGCGCCCGCAACGCCGGCCAACGCCTGGGGCATCCCGCTGGCAGCGACGCTCGTGTGGAGCGCTGCCTTTGCTAGCGTCTCAGTCGGCTGGACGCGCTTTGTCGATCCGATGGCCGGTACGCTTCCGTGCCAATGAATCTGTGAGTTGCATTCTGGGACGTGTAGCGGGCTCAGGCATCCCCGAGATGAAGACCATTTTATCGGCCGACTCGTGCCAGGATCCCGGTCGGTACCTGCGCAGTCGCACGCTCTTCTCCAAGTCGCTCGGCCTCGCGACGGCGCAAGCTAGCGGTCTCTCGGTCGGGAAGGAAGGGCCGTTTGTGCACACAGCGTGCATTCTGTCGCACCAGTTTATGAAGCACCTTGGAGTCTTTGAACGCCTCTACCGCAACAAGTCGCTGCACCGCCACATGTACAACGCCGCATGCGCTGTCGGCGTCGCCTCAACCTTTGGCGCCCCGATCGGCGGCGTCCTCTTCTCCATCGAAGTCACGAGCTCCTTCTTCCTGCTCACTGTACGCTCATCAACTACGTTCCGGATGCTCGCGCTGACAATGTGCCGTGGGTAGAACTACTGGCGAGCATTTGTGGCTGCCGTCAGCGGCGCCATCACCAAGCAAGTGCTCGACTACATCACGCGTGGCCAACCCGCCGGAATGCACTCGTTCCAAGCGCTCTACCCCACAACGTACCTCGACACGTCGTTTCAGCAGCGCGAGCTCGTCGCCTTTGCGTCTCTCGGGCTCTGCATGGGCCTCGCTGGGGCCGCGTACGTCCACGGCGCTGCGTACGTGCGGCTGCGCTTTGCGCCGCTCAACAAGGCGTGGCCGCTGCTGTGGGGATCACTGGTTGCCATGTTGGTTTCGATCATCGTGTACTGCCCTGGTCGCTTTCTGGGTCTTGGCATCTCGGACGCCCTCGGTGCTCTCACAAGCCCCGAGAAGCTGCCGTCCGTGTGGTATTACGGGGACTACGCGCTCGGTCCGCTTGCAGTATCGCGCTCCATCAGAAATGTTGCGTACTTATGGTTGTGTAGATGTACTTTGTTGCCCGTATTCTCATCACGATGCTCTCGGTGGCGCTGCCAGTACCGTCGGGCGACTTTATCCCGCTCTTCTCGGCCGGCGCGGCGTTTGGACGGCTCTATGGCGAGGTCCTCGTCGACTGGTTTCCGAGTATCCCGGTGGTGCCCGGTGGGTACGCGCTCGTCGGCGGCGCATCGCTCGTTGCCGCGTCGACGCAAACCATCTCGGTGGCTGGTACGGTCGGTCGCACGTGTTTTGCTGGTTGAAGCATATTGCTAGTGATTGCGCTCGAGCTCACGGGGCAGTTTATCTACTTTACACCCCTCTTCCTCGCTGTCCTCGTCTCGTGCGGCTTGAGCAAAGGGCTGAGCGTCTCGATTTACGACAGGTATCTATCCTCATTCCCACTGCCATCTCAAACTGCAATCTCAAACTGCAATCTCAAACTGCAATCTCGACATTGCACTTTCAAACTGCAATCTCAAAATGCAATCTCAATATTTTGGTAATCTAGTGCCATCATTTCCAAGGGACTGCCGTACCTTCCAATGCTGCGCTGCAACGAACTCCGCACCGAGCGCATCGTCGCGCGGGATGTCATGATGAACGACGTCCCGTGTCTGCTCAACAGCACGTCGATCGCTGCAATCGCCGAGTTTTTGGCCACCCACCCACGCTCAAGTGTCCCCATCGTCCACGACGGGCGCCTCTTTGCGGGCTGCGTGAGCCGCGACGAGCTCGAGGCGTTGGTGGCGTCGTCGCCTGACCTGTCGACAACCACCCACCCAGTGGAGCTTGCTTCGGCGCTTGAAGTCAGCGGCAATGTGCTCAAGATCGACGAAGACACGCCGCTCGAGACGATCCACCTAGTGTTTGAGATGCTCAAGTGCAGCAAGCTCTTTGTGACCAAATTTGGCGTTCTCCAAGGCGTCGTGACCCGCGCGTCGATGCACCAGCGGCTCGCGTACCTCGGCGACGGCGACCTCAGCGCGACGACGATTCTCCCTCGTGACGACATTGTGTGTTAATCGCCTATGCTCGTAAACAATCTTAGTGCTCGCTTATTCCAGCCGAGCTGGCTTGGTATTATAGGCGTAAATTGCGTGGAAAAAGTATGTTGCCATTCGGTCTGTCGTCAGACTTATAGAAGAAGCAACATGGAGAGATAAAAATGGGGGTCTAACAACACACAACAAAAGCCTAAAATTGGACTGCCGACGACCCCTGCTTCTTGTTGCGCGAATAGTCGAGCAAGTTGAGCGAGTCCCGCGAGTAGCCCGCCCCCGACGACGACGACGTCTGGCGCATCTCGTGCATCGACGGACGCTCCGGCGCGTTGAACGTCGGCGCCTGCGGACGCACATTCCGCGGCATCTGCGTCGCCCGCACGTAGCTCTCGGGCGACGTGAGCACGTTCGGGTCGAAATGCGGGTTGGTCGGCGGCACCGGCGCATCGTCGTCGCGCTCCTCGTCGATGTCAAAGCTCTTGCGCTCGTCGCGGGCGCTCGGCCGGACGTACGTGCCGCGGTCGTTGAACATCTCCGAGTACGACTGCGGACCCGGCGACGTGACCGCTGTCTGGGACGCGCGCGTCGCCGCCTTGGAGTGCAGCGACGGCTGGCGCTCCGGAACGACCGGCGCGGTGAACGCTTGCTGCGGCGGCGGCACAAACGCCGGGGCAGCGACGTACGTGGGCTGCGAGGGGGCCACGTACGCCGGCGACGGCGCCGAGTAGAGAGGCTGCGGCGACTGCACCGGTGCTTGGACCGGTGGGTAGGTGGGCGTCGGCGTGTAGGTGGGCGTCGGCGTGTACAGCGAGGTCTTAGGGGCCGGCGGGTCTGAGTCCATGCGCGCATAGGCCGCGGTCGTCGACGCGGGAAAATCGTTGGTCGTCGAGGGCGGCACGACGGGTCCTTGCGGCGGCGGCGGCGGCGTCGGGTCCTTCTTGACCGGACCGTGGTCCTTGTGCACGACCGAGTGGTCCGTGCCAAGGCCATTTTCGTAATTGTCCATTTCATCGTCCTCCTTGGCGCGGCGACGGCGAATCACACACACGACGATACCGATGACGACGAGGAGACCGGCCACACCACACACGATCGGCACCACCAGCGACGACGAGCTCGAGCCCGAGCCCGAGGTACCCGGCTTGGACGGGTCGACCGGGTCTGCGCTCGACCCGGCGCTGTCGGTGGGCACTGAAAACTGGGCGCCAAAGTCGACGCACGTCCGTGTCGACGACGCCGACGCCGGGAACGAGACCGTGCCCGAGACGGTCACCGCGCCCGACGAAAGCGTGATTGGGATGTTGTTAAAGTCGCTTCGGCTCGTTTTGTCAATGTAGAAAAAGCCAGCGTCCGAGGGCGACATGGCCACGCCATTGATCGACGCGCCCGTGACGACGCGGTACGAGTCGGTAAACTGCAGCGGGAGGTACGAGTTGCCCGCGCCTTCTTGTGTGCACACTTGAATGTTGCCCGGCACAAACTCGGTCGGGCACGTCACGAGCTTGTACGTGACGGAAAGCGGATTGTTGACCGTGTTGGCCGTCAGCGCCTGCATCGCGCCGGGCGAGAGGCCAATGTTGGTCGACGCCGACGTGTCGACAATGTAGGCAACCACCGAGCTGCCGGCGTTGCAGTTGGCATCTTTGCACGTCACTTGGACGCAGCGGCCGCAGGTGGCCATGACCTTGCCAGGAATGGAGGCATACTTGGTGCTCTTCGAGCCCGACGGCGACGTGATGCGGCACGAGCCGCTCTCGGCCTGGGCGTTGTACGGCAGGAGGCTCGCCGACGTATCGGCGGCCGAGGCCATGGCGACGAGCGCAGACGTTAGGAGGAGCAGTCGCATGGACCGGGTCGGCGATTGCGCAGGCGGAGGCAAAACCAAAACTCGGTGCTGGATGCGACCATTCGCGCAAGATTTGTTCTTTTTAATATTCCGCACTGTTTTTAAAAATCGCCCGCTCGTTTTAAAATACTTCGCTGTTTGTATTTCAACGGTCGTCGAACGCGGCTTCTTTTTATTAATTGGAGCGTTCGGCTGGAATTTTTTTGCGCCTATCAGAAAAACGGTCCAAACCTCTCAAACTTGATTTTGCTGACGCCAGCCGGCTCGGGCTAGAAACACCCAACTTGGGGGGCACACGCGCACGCAGCTGCAGCATGGACACGGCGGTGCCGTACCGACGTGGGATCGACGGCGCTGGCACCATCATACTCTTCCGATACCCAGTGCAGGCCAGAGAGCGCTGGCCCGAAAGCGGCGTGCGATTAGCCGCTCGGAGCCGGTCCACCGCTCCATTGTGACAGTCGTTACTAATACACTGGATCGCGCGGCCGCTGTAACGTCCATACAAAGTGCAAGGTGTTTGAAAATTACGCGTTCCGATCATTTTCGCCGACGCCAAAAATGTGCGCCGATGCCTGCTGGTCGGCGCCGACGACCGCGGACGTCGGCGCATCAGCCGTCGCTGGGCATCAGTTGGCATTCGAGTTCGATCGCGAACGACTGTAGCTCTTTGGCGCATTCGACGCATTCGGCGCCGTCGTTCGCTTCTGCTAGGCAGTCGCGATGGCAAGCTGCTTGCGATGGTAGCTTGCCACGGTTACGGTGCGACGACGTTGGATCGGCAGCCGCCGCCAACAACGACGCGCGAGTACACGGTATTATTCTAGCCGAGTAGCCAAGGTTGTGGACAAGGGCAATCTCGATACAGGATGATGATGATATTATAGGGACGGAAGAATTCGAACCGCGTGCGACCGTGCGTCGTGCGCCACTTCCTGTACCAGCAGCCAAGGTGGCTTCAACGGCGCGAGCGTGGGTGGAATTGGTGCCCGTGTCTTTATGAAAAACCCGTCACAATGCATAAAGATCGCGCGGATTCCACGAGGTTTGGGGCCAGTCGCCCGGGAATCTCGTAACCTGCGAGAATGCATACGACGCGCACCGTCTCGGCATCTCATACGTGGCAGCCTCGACGTGCTTGACGCCCTCGGGAATCTCGTCCGTTTCCGCGTCCGTCGCTGAACTCTGAGCGCCCGACGCCGCCATGGCCCGCGTCGCATTGCGTTCCTATCGACTTTGAGAGGTTTGCAACTGCCCGCTAATTCGACGATCGTCCAGCATGACGCAGCAGCTTGTGGCATCGATCCGCCAAGCGATCCCCGCGCTGTCCAAGGACCTCCATAAAGGACAGTACGGTACGCTTGTACGACCTTGCAGCCGGATGATGATGATATGCGTGCAGGCAAGGTGGCCATCGTCGGCGGCTCGCTCGAGTACACGGGTGCCCCCTACTACGCGGCCATCTCGGCGCTCAAAACCGTGGGTCTGGATACATACCAGCCATTGCGCTGACACATATTAGGGCGTCGACCTCTGTCATGTGATATGCTCGGCCGAGGCTGCGATCCCGATCAAGTGCTACAGCCCCGAGCTCATTGTGCACCCGCTCTTGACGCATGCGCCGGATGCCATCGAACGCATCGCAGCCGTGCTGCCACGTATCGACGCGATCGTCATCGGCCCCGGTCTCGGCCGCGAGCCGTTCGTTCTCGACTTGGTCAAAAACGTGGTTGGCGTCGCCAAAGCTCGCGATATGCCCATCGTCTTGGATGGCGACGCGCTCTACATGCTCGCAGCGGACACGACCTTGATTGCTGGCTACCGCCACGCCGTGCTCACCCCCAATATCGTACAACGTCTGAACGATGATGTACAGAATTGTCGACATGGCGTAGGTCGAGTATGGCCGGCTCTGCGTCGCCACGGGGCTTCTGAAGGAACTCAACTTGGTCTTGGCCGCGCTCATTCCGCCGTCGCAGCTCTCGCAAAAGTCGTTTCTGTCTGGCCTCACTCCCCGGTATCATGGTGCTGCGTAGACTTGGACAGGTGGCCATTCTTCGCAAAGGCGAGGTTGATTTGGCGTCGGACGGCGTGTCAAGTCTGTCGTGCTACGTGGCGTGGCAGCACTCAGGTCGAATATATTGTAGCGTTCACCAATACACTGGAAGGCAGCCCCCGGCGATGCGGAGGCCAAGGCGATGTACACCACCGACACGCGGAGAGGGCCTTAGATGGCGTCGTGTAGGTTGTTGCTGGCACCGTCGGCGCCTTCCTCGCCTGGCACCAAGTCTCGTACGTCGTACTGTCGGGTCGATGAAATTCTTTATAAAAAAGGGCTAGGAAGCAGCACGACGGTGAGTCATCAAGCGTGAACCCCATGCTACAGGCGGCCATGGGTGGTGCGCTCCTGACGCGTCAGAGGTCCACGCCACCAGATTCGCGCGTCTGGTCTAACGCCGTGCGTAGCTCGGTGCTCGCGTTTGCCAAGAAAGGACGAAGCATGACGACGCCAGACGTGATTCACCACATTGGCGCTGCGTTTGAGACGCTCTACGGCAATTAACCTTTGTCCCAAGTGTCTCATGGTATTGCGAAACGACTTAGTCATACTAACTATGGACACAGTGTGCATTTTGGCGTCTTCTAGTCGGTCGTGCGGCCAATCACCTCGATCTTCTTGTCGGCGAGAACGAGCCACTGCTTGTCGCCGTAGTCGTAGTGGCAGCAGTGCATCTTGCGCTTCGAGTCGCACCCGACAATCGTGCACGGGTACCACGAGTCGTACCTACAGTTCCGATGGGTGCTATATCGCAAATGTCATGGTACCGATAGCTGTAGACCGTGAGGTTGAGTCCAATGTCGCGCACGTCGTTGGCGAGCGCGCTCTTTGGCGCGGCATCTTTTTGATTCAGTGCGGCATCGAGAGGCTTCTTGGCTACCGCCGGCACGTCAACGTACGGCGACGCTGCGAGTCGGTCCTTGGCCTTTTGTCGCGCTTTCATCTGCTTGACGATCGAGTGTTTGGCCTTTGGCTTGCTTGGCCGCGCCTGGTTGGTCATCATGGGCGGCGTCCCCGGCGACTTTGCGCTTTCGCGCGAGGAAAGACTTCCCGGCACTTCTGCGTACGGACTCGACTCTTTTCGCTGTGTCAACGACGCTTTGCTGGACGGACGGCGGAGCGCCGGCAACGACGACGTCGATCCCGACGTCTTGGGTCGCACCGGCTCGGGCGGTATTGCGTGCGCTTCGAGCTCGATGCACCGATCCAGCTCGTCGTCCGTGTGGTGGTCGATCAAGCGCTGACAGATAGGGCAGACGTCGTCGTCTTCGGGTGCGACGGGCGGCGGCGACGCTTGCATCGACTGCAACTGCGCCTCCAGCTGTCGCCGCTCACTCTACCAGAAAAGACGTGCAGCATTGCGTGCTCGCACAGTTGGTACCTGGAGCCGATGGAGCTGACTCAGTTGGTGCTGCGCCTGGCGGTCGTATTCATCGACCGCACGCAAGTCGGCGGGCGCCGATTCGCTGGCTTGTGAGAGCGGTCGCTCCGGTGCGGGGGTTGCCTCGGGCACTTGGTTGTTGCTACTTGTAAGCGACGGTGGTGGGCGTCCGTCGCTCTTGTTGGCTTGTAGCTTGCGCTTGAGCTGGGCGTTCTCGAGCCGGGCTTGCTTGAGCTCGTCGGTGAGCGACGCGACTTGCGCCTCGAGCGCACCCAAGCGCTCAATCGACGGCTGTGCACGGAGCAAGTGCTGGAGGCGCGCAATCTCCTTCGTCGCCCGCGCGAGCAAAATGGCGTCGTCGACCACTTCGTTTACTTGGATGTTGAGCGAAATCTGCTTTGCGCGCTCGGCAAACTGCAGCGTCGAGATCGTCTCTTCGATCGCGGCCTCGGACGGCGAAATCGTCGCTATCACAATCGTGCGCGTGTTGCCTCCGAGTGAGTCTTGCAGCAGCCGCGTCAGCTTCGAATCGCGGTACGGAATGTGTGTTCTCTACGCAGAATGTTGGTCCCAAAGATCGCAACACAGATCTGATATACTTTTTTATCGGTGAGCGCCGCAATGACATTTCCCAGCGCCGAGAGACTCGCATTGATGTTGCGGAGCTCGCGGGTGCGGTCGTTGGACATGGCAATGTCCGTGTCCCACTATCGCAATTGTCGTCATTGCAAGAGGAGAGACGAGGTCACCTTTTCCGACCCTGCCAAGTCGACGAGGTTGAGCTACCGATGCCTTGTTGATGCAAAGCCATCAAAATGCAGTCGCAGCGTACCTTGGCCCGACGGATGATCGTCGTGCTCTCGGACCCGCGCGACTCGACTTCAATGTTGACTTGCAAAAGCGCGTGGCTTCGACTGCTCTTCTCATTGCACTCTGTTCACAGTGTCAGGACACGGCGTAGGTCCGGTTATAAGCACCAGTCGCTCGGATCGTGCGATTTTGGCCGCCCACTTTGAGCAGATCCAAGACATCTTGAGCGCTCCCGACGCGAAATTCCGAGATGCCGCTGACGTAAATGTGTTTGGCGTTGCCCTACGTTCATGATGGTCCTCCTGAACTTGGACCAACTGCTGGTGTACAATACCTTGATCATTTCACGGACTTGAAGAGGCTTTTGGTCCTGCATGTTGGTGGCTTGAAGCAAGTCAAACACTTGGTTGTTGTAGATTTGCATGTACGAGCAGTGCACGACGGCGCCGGCACCACTCGCGCCGATGGTCGCGAGCTCGGCAAAGAGCCCCGCCACAGCACGCGGAATGATACCGGCCTCCGCAGCGATTGCGTTGCCGTCGACCAAGACCGGCCCAGTATCGGGGCCCATCATCGTGTGCGTCTTGCCCGTGCCTACAACCATAGCGTTGAGACTCTGAACAAAGCTCCGCTCGGTACGCACCAGTTTGCCCGTACGCGAAAATGGTGCAGTTGAAGCCTTGCACCACTTGCTCGACCGAGGACGCGAGATAGCCGTAGATCTCGTCTTGTCGCGTCGATGTCCCAAAGACCGCGTCGTACGTATACCCAACGTCGACGTCCCAGGCCGCGCTCGCGACCTGCACGTGGTTGGGCAAGTCGCTGCCGTGCTTGGCGCCGATTCGGACGACATCGTCCGCCTCTGTTTGGCCCTTGCGCTCGCGTTCGTTGCGCGGACGCACGCGGACAATGACACGGACGCACTCTTGCTGCGCGACGCTGTTGTTGTCGTCATTGTCGCCACCGGCCGTCGGCGTCGTCATGGTCGGTTTCAGAGTCGTTCCGGAAAGGCGATACTCCACCAACCATGGGCGCCGGACCGTCGGTCGTCGCCGAGAGTGTCGAGCACGCGCAAGGCGTCGCCGCGCTGCACGCCCACCAATATACGGATGCGATTGCGTGGCTGACCGCCGCGCTGTCGTCGACGCCTGACGCCGGCGCCATCTATGCGCACCGGTCGGCGGCGTACTTGGCCCTTGCCCAGCCCTCGAAAGCGCTTGACGATGCCCTTCTTGCGATCGACCTCTGCCCCATGGCTGCGCAGGGCTACGCCTGCGCAGCGCGAGCCGCCGCACGCCTGGACGGCGGCTCATGCGCCGCCCGAATGTACGTCCAAAAGGCCGTTGCGCTGGCGCCCGACGACGCTGCCGTGTGTGCGCTGCAAGATACGCTCATGGCGTCGCATGTGCCGCGGGCCGACGGTGTCAGCCACGTGTTTAGCTGGGGCGCCGGTGACGATGCGCAGCTCGGCCACGGCGCGACGACGTCCAAAGCCATGCCGACAATGCTCGACGCCTTCCGTGGACGCCAAATGGTTGCAGTAGCATGCGGTGCCATGCACACGATAGCGATCGGCGGCGCCCACGAGGTGTACGCCTGGGGCAACAATCGGTACGGCCAGTGTGGGCTCGTTGGTGGCGACACGACGATTCTCATTCCGCAACTGGTGCCCGCCTTTGTCGGACAACCGGTGACCGCGGTCGCGTGCGGTGCCGGGCACTCGGTCGCCATTCTACATGACGGACGAGTCTTTAGCTGGGGCATTGGCGCACAAGGCCAGCTCGGGCTCGGGCCAGACGTTTCGTCGTCGCGCCCGCAGTGTCTCCCGACGATCGAGACATGCGCAGTCGCGGTTGCCTGTGGGATTGCCCACACCATGCTACTGCTGGAAACCGGCGACGTTCTAAGCTGCGGGCTTAACCAGTACGGCCAACTCGGCCTCGGCTCGACGCGAGAAGGAAGCGTCGCAACGCCCCGACGGATACCGCTCCCCGGTGGCGCCGTCCGGCACATTGCATGCGGTGGCGCACACTCGTGTCTCGTCGACGCTGCTGGTGTCATATTTACCTGTGGCTCCAACAGCTGCGGTCAGCTCGGGCTTGGCCACTACAACGACACCGGTACGTTTACGGCCATAAGTGGTCTGCCACCTGTCGCGCTCGCCGTGTGCGGCGAAGAGTTTTCGGCGGCGCTCACCAAAGACAAGTGCAACATCTTTACATGGGGGCTCGGCCTGGCTGGTCAAATGGGCGACGGGTCTAGCGACGGCTACTGCGACCCGCACCTTGTGCCCGACCTTCCAGAGACCATCGACTTTCTCTGCGCCGGTCAAGCCCAAGTCTTTGCGCTTTGCGACACTGGCAGCGTCTATACGTGGGGGTTGCCGGGCGATCGAGCGTTTGACATGGCGTCCATGGTCCCTCGGCCGCAAAAGGTCGGTGCTTTCTTCGGCAAGAAACGAATTCAAATGCTCGCATGTGGGCGAAAACACTATATCTTGCTCGCGCGCGGGGCCGTCGCGCACCGGACGACCTTGCAGTGGGCTAAGAACACGACGCGTTTCATCGCCGGTGCATGGGCCAAGTTTGAGCTCACGACGTACGATAACCTCGGTGGCCGGTGCTCGACCGGGGGCTATGTCTTTACGAGCCATCTCTCGCTGTGCGACGCAGATGATGCGGCGACAACCCTTGGTTTGGCCTCAAAGGTCGATGACGCGCAAGACACGGCGGTTGAAATCAACGACAACATGGACGGGACCTACAGCGGACGGTGTCGCTGCTATCGCGCCGGGTCGTACCTCTTGCATGTGACGCTGGACGCCATCGGTATTCAAGACCATCCGCTAGCGCTGACAGTAGCACCGGCGCGCGTGTGCCCGGCACAGTGCAGTGTGGTCTGGCCACCGGACGTGGCCTTTCCGCTCGTGCAGCCGCCATGCGCCACCGTCGAGGTGCAAGTGACCTTGCACGACGCGTTTGGCAACCGAGTAGTCCCATGCACCGCCGCCGACGACGAGAACGACGACGTTGACGAGCCCGCGGTTCACTACCAGATCGTCGACAGCGACAATCGCGTTGTGACCAAGGCCAGTGGTGGGCAGCCATTGACATTACACTGGCCGTCAGCACCCGGCGCGTACACGCTCGACCTTGGTCTCAATGGTCTCCGCGGCGAGAGTGAGGTGCGCGGCAGTTCGTATTCGCTACGCGTTCATGCCTCAAATGCCGACACGTTGCGACAAGTAGCCCACCAGTTGACGGTCTCGGTGCCGACGACGAGTGTCGTGGGCGAGACGATGGCGCTGCGCGTTCTCGCACCCGAGGCGCTTCCACTAGACTGCTACTTTGTGCTACAATTTCATTCGTTGCTGGCCGAGCACGGCCTTAGCGCGAGAGCGCTCGTGCGCTGGGGCGCGTCCGACCCGCTGACACCGACCTCGGTGACGGTATCCGACCATCCATTCACAGCCACCCATACCATCAAAGTCGCAGGCACGTACGCAGTGGTGGCCACCATCACGAACGGCGCTGACGCACATACCATCGGCGAGGTACCCCTCGAGATGACACCGGGACGCGCGTCGCATGAGTTTACGTTTGTCAGCAACGCGCGGCAGCTTTTGTCCGAGTGGACCAATAGCGACGTTGCGCTGACACTGCTTCTCGACCTTCGTGACGCGTTTGGCAACAGCGCGGCACTGCATGACGACGACGACGTCACCGCATGGGTCGCGCCCACACAGGACGACACGCCGCCCAGAGACGGTTTACGCATGTTGGAGAATCGCGGCAGTCGTGTGAGCTTTCTCCTGCCAAGTGGCGGCTCCGAGCGCCTTGGCGCCTCCGCGTGGCTGCACATACATTTGAACGGGCACCCCATCGAGTACGCTCCATTTGCACTACTACGAGACGACGAAAAGCCATCGCCGCCGATCATGACAGTCGAGAGCCTCCCGCCGCCCCTTCAGGACGCCGCGAGTATCGAGCGGCTCCGGCTCGAAGAGGCCACGCGTCGACGGGCCACCGAGGCGTTGCGGCGGGAGCGCCAGAAGCGGCGTGACGAACTTGCCAAGCAACTCGCTTTACAGAGCATGCGGCGGACCGGCGGCGGCTTTACCGTTCAGTTTACACCCTAAGCCGGCTTCGAGTACATAGGAAAATGTCAGTAGTATTGCTCTTGCGACCACCTTTGCCAAACGTCTGCGACAGACAACACCAGTCGCACGCGCTGTCGTCGATGTGTGCGTTGACCGTTCTAGCATTGAGCCTACGAGCTGGTGTCGGTTTGGGTCACAGCTATCCATCTATCTATCCAGCTATCTATCCGTGGCGTTGGATAGTTGAAAATAGGTCGATTGCGGGCAAGCAGTTACGCAGGTGCGGCAATTCGACTCGGATGCGTCGGCTAGCGTCGTTGCGGAATCGCGTGCAGCCGCTTTTGTTGGAGCTGCACGACCACCTCGTCGTGCCCCGTGACGTCCGGGGTACCGAGAGCGACGCGACGGAGCGCGCCCTCGCGTACCTCGGGCGCCCCAAGAGGTACATACGCGGTCAATGAGGACACAACGTGCCAATGCATCGTAGATGTGTGAGTCGCTTCTGGTCTGAGAAGGCGCGGCTGCTTCTGGATGCACTCCAGATCTACGGCCTTGTGTGGCAGCTGGCCCAGTCGTGGCCGTGGCCGTCGGCGTGGCTATCGTCGACCCGCTGGACTGCAGCGTTCAACCTCGATGTGCTGAGTTTCCTCTCCACGGGTGCTGGCCTGGGCATGAAGGCGCCGCCCTTCTCTCTCTGGTACCCGGTTTGGTCGTCTCGCATCCATCAACACTCTGTTGTAGGGGCGAACTCCGCGGGTCCTACTGGCTGTACGCACTGGTGTACGCACTCTTGCCGTGGGCAGCAGTGCTCTACTACAAAGCGCGAGCTCGGCACTGGCGGGTTCGCGGTGACGCGCGCTTCCTCGTCTTTGCCGCCCGTCTCGAGAACCGGCTACTGGGGCTGTTTCAATTCCTGTACCTTCCGATCGCGCTCGCCCTCAGTCGTCTCGTCAACTGCACGGTGGTGCCCAACCCTCTCGACGCGTACGCCTCGGACGTGGTGCTCAGTGTGGACCCGACGATCTCGTGCCATAGTCCACTTCACATGTACAGCAAAGAAGGTCGCAATTTCCCAGAGCTCACGCACAGTGGTGTAGCACCTTGGGCGTTGGGATTGGCGGTGTCGTAGGGCTGCCATTCCTCCTCGGCTTTCCGTGGCTATTACATCGGCGGATCCACTGCGCTGGAGTCGCGTGCAGCCAAGGTACTTGCACTCGCGAGAGCTTGTCCAGCATCCAGTATATTGGCGTAGACGCCCACGAAGAAATTGTCTCGGCCATCGAGTTGAGCTACCTTGTCGGTATCTCGGACGACTATGATCTCTTGTACGTGCCGCAGTACGCATCGTACACGAGGCGACACGCCAACCTGCCCGTGTATCGGTGTCTCTATAAGCTCAGTCTTCTTCTTATTTGCACGCTGCTGCGATCGCAGTTTCCAAACATTGAGAACCAGCCACTGCAAGGCACGCTTTTCTTTGCTCTACTGGCGCTGCGCTTCCTCTTCCAATGCTACGACTACCCGTACCGCCTCTCGTCGACCAACCATTGTATGGTGTTTTTAAACCTGGTACTGGTGTTTGACGGGGTCATGGGTACGTCATTTTTTTCGGTTGTATTATGTACGCAATTTGTCTAGTGTTCTTGTCGGCCAACAATGTTCGAAGCGCGCTCACGGTCGCGTCGGTCAAGGTGCTCTGCCTCACCTTTGTCCATACATGGGCCATCGTCGTGCTGAGTGTGTGGGGCGTCCTTGTCTTCCTCGCATGGCGGCGCATGCAGCTGACGTGGCCGACCCATCGTCGCATGAAAGCGCTGGTGGCGCACGCCCCTACTGTACGGGCGTGGGTCGAGACGGTCCAAGCGGCGCAGGAATTACTTCACAAGGTGTCTTGGTGTTTCTATCGATGTACAAATTGTCATGCGCGTAGGACTATGCGTCCCCGACATTGGTCAAGCCCACAGTCGAGCTCGGCGACATGGTAACAGCGCTGCAAGCCCACGCCTCGGAAGCGTTGCGCTTGCGCCACCTCTTGCATGTACGATGGTCGGTGGCTACATGACAATATTCTCCACTTTGCACCATAGCGCCCTTTGCACGACCTAGCGCTGCACGTGCAAGCTGCGTACATTGAGTCGGCGGCCACGTCGGCGATGCCGTCGTCGCTCCTCGACAGCTGCGTCGACAGCTTGGCCGCAGAGCTCGAGCGATACCAGGTACGACACCCTCGACACCGCAAAACCGACAACTTGTCCACAATGTTCGGTAGGAAAAACATGCGCTTTTGCACCCCCGCAAGCGAGATGCGCTCTTCAAGCTGCGCGTGCTTCACACCCTTGTCGACGAGCACAGCGGCAAGCACGACAAGGTGGCATCGTTCTCTGCACCAAGGATACGCCGCGCTCCTGTCGATGACGTCCTCGTCGCCATGGACCCGGCACTCTACGTCTGGTCCACCTGGGACCCGTCGACGTTGCTCCTCGCTCCCAACTGCGGCGCGCCAGCGCCGAACCTTCTCTCGGTGCGGTGGTACCTGGCGCTATACCACACAAACCTTCGCATGGGTTATGTCGCGACGGTCACGGCCATCGATGTGGTGACGCTCTGGGTCCATCTCGACGTTCTTCTTTGCTTTGAGAATGCAGAGCCTTGTGTTCGCAGTGGCTGGCTACGCTTGGCCGACATGTCCTCGGACGTCCATGCGCACCTTCTGCAATGCAACGACCCCGATACCCTCCACGTCTTTGCGACTCTACCGCACGCCCCGACGCCACGTGTCATCTCGGTGCCCCGCCTGCAATCGCTGTTGGATCGCTCGGCCGAGATCACATCCGACCTTGTCGCGGACTGGCAAGATGTCTTGTATGAGTGGGAGGTGGCCTTTGTGTATTTTGAGAAGCGGCGGCCGTCGAGCTTGGACCGGCGCAAAATTCAAGCGTGGTTTCGGGCCTACCACGCTGCGCGGTGTGTCAGCACGACGAGTGCTTTCTGAGCCACAAGTGATCGCCCCCAATAAGCAACCAGCCATTTGGGTAAGCAGTTTGACGCCGCATAGGGCAGCCTCCCTTGCGATACTTTATCAACGATGATTGTTTGTTCTTGCAATGACGCGCAGAAGAGCCACAGCTCAAAGTCTGGTCGCTCTGCATGACAGTAGTGGTGCGACTTCTGGTCGTCGCGCTGCGCAGGGTTAGGGTACTATCGCCAGACACACTTTGAAAGGCTAGAGGGCAGTGGAGATGCGAGCTGTCGTGGCCTCCATTGAGAAGGTCAATAGGTCATGACAAGCGTATCGTCATGTTGTTCGTATGCCATGGACGGTCGTTGGCTATTTTATTCGTTGGAGCTATCTATTACATTTGTGTTAAATAAGGGTGCGCGCGTCTACAAGTGGGGTAGCATCTTGCAGCTCGCAGCGCGTTTTGGGGTTGATGACATCGTCGGTGCTTCGACTTTGATTTGAATCTGGGAGCGCGATTTGATTGGGCAATGGAGGTACGCCAGTGACGCGCCGTCGTCGGGCAACAGCGTCGGCGACTGCGGCGCGCCGTTCGGGTGCTGTAAATACAGCACCGGGTCGAACGTGATGCTTTTGCCCAAAGCAATGCCCATGTCGGAGGCCTCGCTCTGGCGCTGCAGCTTCGCGAAGTACGCACTCAGCGTCGGGAGCCGCGCTGTCGCTACGACCGCATCCGGCTTGTCGGTGAGGAGGTCGTAAAAGCGCTTGAGCTGGGCCACGTACGCGCCGAGATCGGGTTCGTCGACCCACTAAGGTGGACAATATTGTCCTCGACAGCAACAGAATCTCTTTGTCGTACGTGCTCGACAAAGAAGAACATGGCGTCGCTGAAGTACTCGATGCTCAACGCGGGCTGGCCGTGGCTGTCGCTCTCCCAAGCATCGTGGATGATGGTCGAGGCCAAGCTGTCGATCCACTCGGTTGTGAGCCCTAAGCGCACTGCTCTATCGCTGCCGCGGCGACCGCGCGACGCACCCGAGAGTAGCTGCGAGTACAGACGCGCATACTGCTGTTTGCTCATCGTTGGGTCGTCCTTGGACTTGATTTGGCACTGCCTATGCAAGGTAGAGACTTCATACGCAAACACACTCGGCAGTAGCTTGCGTACCACAGCGACCGCAGCCACTTCCGCACATTCGGATGCGTCATAATGGCGGACCGCTTGATCTGTAGCTCGCGGTGCCGCCGGAGGATGTCCTGCACGTCGCGCGTGAGCGTCACGGGTGCCTTCTTGGTTGCGCTCTGCGCGCGCCGCGGCGGTCGCGAGTGCGCCTTCTTGGGGCTCTCGCGCGGCAGCGACGAGGCCAGGAGAGTGTCGTCTTCGAGCGGCGCCTCGGCGACCGTGGCGAGCGCACCAGGTACCGATGCCTCGGCCAAAGGAAGTGCAAAGTCGTACGCGTTGTCCATGAACGCTTGGTACACGCGCTGCATCGTCTCTTCCGAGCTCGTGAGTGTGTCGTCGATCGCGAGGCGTGCGCGGTGCGCCGCGCGCTCTTCGAGCTTGGCGAGGAAGGCGCCGAGGCTCTCGGCCTCGGCGCGGAGGTCGGCCATCGTCAGCGAGTCCCATATCGTGAAGCGTCGAATCATATACGCGTCGTCTACGCTACCTCCATGCCCCGGCCGTGCCGTCGCTTCCGCCCAAGCAAACGACGACCAAGACAAATCGGTTATTTATAGCGCGCCACGTCAGAAACACTGTAAATAGTGTGATATCGTATATAGTGTACATAGCCTTCACGCGCAACCAAGTCGGTGACTTCGTCGGGGGATGATCATGGCCGCTTTAGCCTGCGCAAGCTGCCTGTGCATGTTGACCTAGCGGCGGCAAAGAAGAGTCCAAAGAGCTCGGCGACGATCCAGCATGGCATCATGCACCAAGCGCAAGAGAAAATGGTGGGATAAGCTTTCTATAAGCTTGGCAACGGCGTGGTCGTGATGGCGTCGAAGTCAACCCGGCTCACGACCTGGTGACGCGTGGAGCAGCATGGGCCAAGCATAGTAGCGTTGCGTGGCCCTGCCTGAAATGAAAGAGCCTGAGCAGCTGCGCCGACCAAGTCCCTTGCGTGCTTACGATACAGGAGAAAGTCATGGCGCATCGTATGTATTATGTGAAGCGGGTATCGCTACGCCATGCGAGCAAGCAACACCAAGTTTACTCGTCCAACTCGGAGGCGAGGGCCTTGGCCTTCTCCTTGACTTCCTCGATGCCGCCGACCATGAAGAAGGCGGCTTCCGGGAGGTCGTCGTACTCGCCGGCAAGGATGGCCTTGAACGACGAGACAGTCTCCGCGAGCGCCACAAACTTGCCCGGCTTGCCCGTAAACACTTCGGCGACGTGGAGCGGCTGCGACATGAACTTCTGCACCTTACGGGCGCGCGCGACCGTGAGCTTGTCGTCTTCCGACAACTCGTCCATGCCGAGAATGGCAATGATATCCTGGAGACCCTTGTAGTCCTGGAGCAGCTTCTGCGTCGCGCGAGCCACCTCGTAGTGCTCGTCACCAATCACACGCGGGTCGAGCATGCGCGACTTCGAGTCGAGCGGATCGACGGCAGGGTAGATACCGAGCTCCGAAATCTGGCGCGACAACACCGTCGTCGCATCCAAGTGCGAGAACGTCGTCGCCGGCGCCGGATCCGTAAGATCATCGGCCGGCACGTAAATGGCCTGCACCGACGTGATCGAACCCTTGAGCGTCGACGTAATGCGTTCCTGGAGCGCACCAAGATCCGTCGCCAACGTCGGCTGGTAACCGACAGCCGACGGGATACGACCGAGAAGAGCCGACACCTCCGAGCACGCCTGCGTGAAGCGGAAAATGTTGTCCACGAACAAGAGCACGTCCTGGCCTTCCACATCACGGAAGTACTCGGCGACCGTCAGACCCGTAAGACCGACACGGGCGCGGGCACCCGGCGGCTCGTTCATCTGGCCGTACACGAGCGCAGCCTTCGAGCCCGTCGTCGTGCCGTCCGCGTTGAGCTTGATCACACCCGACTCGATCATCTCGTGGTACAAGTCGTTGCCTTCGCGCGTGCGCTCGCCGACACCGGCAAACACCGACACACCACCGTGGTTGTTGGCCACGTTGTTGATCAACTCCATGATGACGACCGTCTTGCCGACACCAGCGCCGCCGAAAAGACCAATCTTGCCACCCTTGGCGTACGGCGCCAGCAAATCGACGACCTTGAGGCCCGTCACGAGCACCTCGGCGCCCGAGCCCTGCTCCGTGTAGAGCGGCGCGGCGCAGTGGATCGGCGCCTTCGTCGCCGAGTGGATCGGCCCACGCTCATCGACCGGCTCGCCAATCACGTTCATGATGCGGCCAAGCGTCTCGGGACCGACGGGCACCTACACCGCGCTCAATATCCCATCGATTTCCAAACAAAGCACAGTACCATGATCGGGTTGCCCGTGTCCACGCACTCCTGGCCACGCACGAGACCGTCCGTGCCCTCCATGGCGATCGTGCGCACCGTGTTCTCGCCGAGGTGCTGCGCGACCTCGAGCACGATGCGGATGTTGTCGTTCGTGTTCTGCACCTCGAGCGCGTTGAGGATCGGCGGCAGGTTGTTGGTGAACTGGACGTCGACGACGGCGCCGATGATCTGCGTGATGCGACCGACGGACGCGCCGGACGACGCGAAGCCGCGCGTCAGCGAGCGGGTCAGCGAGAGCATGTTGGAGCTTCTTTTGTACTGAAGCCGCAGCCACACAACAGCGATTGCCGGATACGACCGCGCGTATCCGGTATTGGCGCCGTCTATCCGGACATTGGTATGCGGATGCGCGGGGATTGGCCCAAGCAATGGAAAGCGAGCCAATCCGAATGGAAAGGGACGTGCGAGGGAGCCAATGAACGGCATGGACTTCGGCATGGCGCGTGACGGCCGATTTGAAATTCGAGATTCGGGATATCCAAGAAAATTGGGTTGTTCCCGTGGGCATTTGATTTCCTCGGTATTGCGATCGTCGACTGCGGTTTAGTACGCAGAAAAGGCGCCTAGTTACGATCGACATGGACGATATCCTGTAAAGGAAGATGAGCGTTGGAATGCAGACGACGTTGGACGAGAGAGACCCGACGAATTTCACCTGATCGAGTCGGCGTCGACGTGTCTTGCGTTCTAGTTCGTGGCGACGAATATGCTGCATCCAAGGGTCTTGCGTCGGCGTGGCAGCCGTGGGTACGTCGATACTCAGTGAACGAACGCTCGCGCGCTTCTGTGAGCGGCTACCGCAAGTAGCATCTCGTCGTATCGTGCGGTCGAAATGGCATGGCGTGGTTGATGATGGATCCAATGCTCATCAGTAAGGCCAATGGGGAAGGCGTTCTTTTGCCCATAAGATAGCAATAAGATCTCTCGAAGTCGACCAGTTTGTGTCTCAACAATTGCGGCAAAAGCGGCGTTTTTATACACAATCCGACGAAACATGGGGCGCAAAATAACAAAACGAGAGGAAGCACACGTCTGCGCAGCATGCAATTAACATCGCCGGTGGGTCAAGCAGAAATGCACTGTCTGGGCAAAAGGTGGTCGTCAATATGTATCTTGGCCACGTGAGCGCTATCATAAGCAAGTCTCTGCAGTTGTTGAAGGCAGTCGACCTGGACATAGCTGTTTCGGGAGGTGGTCTCTCGACTCCAACAGCGACTGACGGCAGCGGCGAGGCGTGTGTGTGCCGCAGGCTGAAACGAGGTGGTAGCCAAGCCACTCGTCGTGGAGCTGGGCGTTGCTTACTCCGTTGGAACAGGTACATCGCTTGGATACGCTGCAGCAAACGTTCAAGACGCCGTTTGGTCCGGAACACAGCGCGAATCGAAGCCGCTTCGGGCGTCTCGGGGCGGAAGACTCGGTCGTTTCGGGCTAGCCAGGCGGCGAGGAGCACGCAAGCGCGTAGAATCGGCCACACGATGCCAACCGCGCGTCGCTGATAGCGTTGGAAGGTCACCAGCGGTGCAAACAAGCAAGTCTCTGCAGCCATTCTAGTGTCGGCGTCTTGAAGTTGAATGGCACCGCAGCAGTGTCTGGCTCGAAGCTAGTCACAAATGTTTTTTGTCCAAATCCTAGTGTTTGGGAGCTGCAGAAACAACGGACACATCCGTGCGACTCGACCCGTACTCACAGACACCTCTGTACAAAAGCCCGCCTACCGTTGAGGTCAAGAATTGTCCGGAAGCAGACCTTCAACTGTCGCGTGCCAAAGGACGTGTCAAAAACGAGTTGGCCCGTCACCTTGCTGAGATACTAAGGTCGACTCCCTTTACACAACGAGTTACTGGATCAGAATTGCGAATGTGGGGCGAAGGATCTCAATAGAAATCGTCAACTTGGACTCGCGACTCGGTTCATTATGCCGAGCTTGATGTTTTCATGGACAGCTCCGTTGTTGAGACTACACCACGACTCCACCTGCAGGCATCTCCGTGAAAGAGCAAAAGGGACGATCGTTCCAACGCCTAGAGCGAACTACGTGTGACCGATTCCGCTCCTGGCAACAACCAGAACGTGAAACACCAGACAGAGGGAGGCCGTACTCCCTAAACACCGGCTAGTGTACTACAAAGCAGAACGGAAAGTGGTAGCTAAGCTACATCTACTGACTGCTGCCAAAGACTGTACAGTCTCACATCAACGGGCTTCTCCCGTAGGACTTAACATGCAAACACACATCGCCTTGTCCCGGCCTAGTGGTGTTGACGTGGGCTAGGCTCACACCCAATGCCCCACCACTGTATGCGACCAACGGTCACACTACGACATGAGACTCTCGCAGGACAGTTTGATGATAACGCCGTGTTGGCCCTGTCGGCCGGCTACATGCTATGGAGCGAGAAATCTTGTTCTCCCTGCGTCGACGTACGAAAGAGGTGACAAGCCCTAGCTCACGTTTTTAGTCCACTGCCTTGATTCAGAGTGAAAACTGGTGTGGTGTGTATCTTGTCCAAAGTACTTGGGCGTAGTAACGTTGTGGATAAAAGAACGCAAATGTCATGCGAGAGCTTCGAAACCTATTTCAACCTGTCAACTTGGCACTTGTACTACGTGGTGCTGTCCTTCTCTTGCGGCACAAGAGCTAATAACTTGCCAGCCGTCGACGCGGCACTCACTCGCATCCCGGCTGCCTCGTGACCGCATACATATATCGCGGTGCAGAGTCAGCGTACACGGCTGTCCGTCGGTTCTCGTCGAATGAAGATCTTTGCGTGTTGCTGGAGCCTCTCTGTCTTATGAGATAATACCAAAACGAGATGTCTCTCGGCTGGTGGACGACCGCCTTCAGCAGCGAATGCTCTATTGGTGCGGCGGCACCAAAGGTATATGGAAGAACCTAGTCAAGAGTGCAGGTAAACCCTTATCCTAGTAGAAAGTCGCATTGGGCTTCTAGCCCCGAGGGCACTGCGCGGTACCCACGTCCAATGTGGCGGGCGTAATGCTGGAGAAATGGACAATATTGCACTTTTCCGTGACGACCCCGTCGTGCTGGCAAGACACGGCTGGCTACTCGTCCCACGTTGGCGTCTGTCGACATACATGTTGTATAATGGCACGATGGCCCGTCGCATGCACATGTATCGTGTTGGAGAGTGTTTACCCCTTGTGCAAGATGGGGCGACGACAAGAAGGAGGTGCGAAGACGACATCAGTCACTGCGAGGACGCTCATGCTTGCTGATTCCACTTTTCTGTACAAGTACGAGAGTACGTGCTTTGTAAACCACCAAGTTGTGGCCAAAAATGATCTTTGAGACTCTTCTGGTGCACCCACCACCGTCCACGTGTCGGTCGGTCGTATCGCCACCACACTTCAAACCTCCACCGTCGTCCTCCTAGTCCATCATTTGCTGCCTCCTAAATAATACCTCCACAACGTCGTGCTCATACGACTCATCCATCGCTACCTCGTCCTTCCCCATTCCTCTTTGCCCAAGCAACCATCTTGCCGCTTCGTTCTCTTGCGTTCGTCATGCACACCAAATCCCCATCGTTCTCATACTATTTCCAAACGCATCATGTAGTGTTCGCACACTATCTCGGTGCAACCTGCGCATCGTGTGATGCATGGGCATTGCGTCTGAAAAAGGGACCCCCTCATTTAATGGCCACACCATCGATTTCTATTTTAATAGCAACAATCAAATCCCAATACCATCGTCCATATTATCACCACGCCATATAAAACACATCCACCCCACCGAATTCCAAAATACGTACGACCCCCTAGTGACTGAGCTTGCAAACCGAAGTGAGGCGAAGGCCAGTCGTTTGCCCGGCGTCAGTTTTCCTTTTGCCAACTACAAGCAGAATGCTCTCGCTGACCCGCTCGCTGACGCGCGGCTTTGCGTCGTCCGGCGCGTCCGTCGGTCGCATCACGCAGATCATCGGCGCCGTCGTCGACGTCCAGTTCACCAACAACCTGCCGCCGATCCTCAACGCGCTCGAGGTGCAGAACACGAACGACAACATCCGCATCGTGCTCGAGGTCGCGCAGCACCTCGGCGAGAACACGGTGCGCACGATCGCCATGGAGGGCACGGACGGTCTCGTGCGTGGCCAGGAGTGCGTGGACACGGGCAACCCGATCATGGTACTGTGCATTGTTTGGAAATCGATGGGATATTGAGCGCGGTGTAGGTGCCCGTCGGTCCCGAGACGCTTGGCCGCATCATGAACGTGATTGGCGAGCCGGTCGATGAGCGTGGGCCGATCCACTCGGCGACGAAGGCGCCGATCCACTGCGCCGCGCCGCTCTACACGGAGCAGGGCTCGGGCGCCGAGGTGCTCGTGACGGGCCTCAAGGTCGTCGATTTGCTGGCGCCGTACGCCAAGGGTGGCAAGATTGGTCTTTTCGGCGGCGCTGGTGTCGGCAAGACGGTCGTCATCATGGAGTTGATCAACAACGTGGCCAACAACCACGGTGGTGTGTCGGTGTTTGCCGGTGTCGGCGAGCGCACGCGCGAAGGCAACGACTTGTACCACGAGATGATCGAGTCGGGTGTGATCAAGCTCAACGCGGACGGCACGACGACGGGCTCGAAGGCTGCGCTCGTGTACGGCCAGATGAACGAGCCGCCGGGTGCCCGCGCCCGTGTCGGTCTTACGGGTCTGACGGTCGCCGAGTACTTCCGTGATGTGGAAGGCCAGGACGTGCTCTTGTTCGTGGACAACATTTTCCGCTTCACGCAGGCGTGCTCGGAGGTGTCGGCTCTTCTCGGTCGTATCCCGTCGGCCGTCGGTTACCAGCCGACGTTGGCGACGGATCTTGGTGCGCTCCAGGAACGCATTACGTCGACGCTCAAGGGTTCGATCACGTCGGTGCAGGCCATTTACGTGCCGGCCGATGATCTTACGGATCCGGCGCCGGCGACGACGTTCTCGCACTTGGATGCGACGACGGTGTTGTCGCGCCAGATTTCGGAGCTCGGTATCTACCCGGCCGTCGACCCGCTCGACTCGAAGTCGCGCATGCTCGACCCGCGTGTGATTGGTGACGAGCACTACGAGGTGGCTCGCGCGACGCAGAAGCTGCTCCAGGACTACAAGGGTCTCCAGGATATCATTGCCATTCTCGGCATGGACGAGTTGTCGGAAGACGACAAGCTCACGGTCGCGCGCGCCCGTAAGGTGCAGAAGTTCATGTCGCAGCCGCTCCACGTCGCCGAAGTGTTTACGGGCAAGCCCGGCAAGTTTGTGGCGCTCGCGGAGACTGTCTCGTCGTTCAAGGCCATCCTTGCCGGCGAGTACGACGACCTCCCGGAAGCCGCCTTCTTCATGGTCGGCGGCATCGAGGAAGTCAAGGAGAAGGCCAAGGCCCTCGCCTCCGAGTTGGACGAGTAAACTCTAGACATTGACTCGCTGTGTTACCATTCAAATTGTAGTATCTTGGAGGTAAAAGGTATTAATAGTTGACAACCCTATTCCCTGTCATCTCAACTTGGCCGCTGGAACATGATCAGTGGCTTGTCGATCATTGAGTTAGGGTGCTCCGGGCGCATGGTAGGCGAGAGCGATCCACCGGAGATGAGCACGCTGCTGCCGCGGGCCTTGGTGCCGCTGTTGCCTTCGAGAACGAGCGTCTCGGGCGTGAGCTGGCACTGCGTCGCTGAAATGGCGTCCCGCAGCAGCTTGCACCCGCGGAGCGTAATGCTGTTGTAGCCCAAGTGGAGCTCTAGAAGCGTCGTATTGGCCTCGAGCGCCGTCGAGAGGACTTGGACGATCGTGTCCGACTTGAGCCCGATGCTGGTCTAGACCAGTTGGATCCATCATGTCATCCAGGACTCCGTCACACTCGGGAGGCTACCAGCTCGAGGACGCGCAAGGTTGCATTGGTGCCAATGGCTTTGCAGAGCGCGACGATGCCCGGTGGCTCGAGTAGCCCGCCGCTCTACGTGGTCCCAACGTCATTAGCGTCCATCGCAAGCGACGTACAATGTCCATGTGCGATAAGCTCAGTGTCGTCAGAAGCGTCTTGGCAAGGTAGCTGCCGGCGTGGGGGCCGTGAAAGCTCGCTGGAAAGAGCGCGGTGCGGAGGCGCGGGTGCGCACCCAGTGCCGTGGCCATGAGGTCCCCGATTTCGTCGTCGAGGACGTTGGCGCCAGCATGGAGGTACGTCAGCGACGCATTCGCCGCCAGTCCACGTGCGAGCGCCTTGCTGCTCTCGAGCGACAAGCTATTCATCGACACATCGAGCGACGTGAGCACCGACGTTGTACTCAAAACATGCTGGAGCCGGCACGCCGAGGCCTCCGATAGCCCAATCTCAGAGAGTGTGAGCGTCACAAGACTCGTGTTGGCCGGTGCGTCGAGCAGCGTCGCCGTGTACGTCCGGCTCTTGCTTTTGAGGAGGAGCTTCTGGCGCGTCTCGTCCGCGAGCGAAAGCGGCTCGGCGGCCAGCGGGCGCAGAAGGTCGACACCACCACCGTCGGCGATCGCCGGGTTGTGGCTCATGTGCAGCGTGCGCAGAGTTGAGTTGGTTTTGAGATTGAGCCACGCGAGACAACCCTCGCTACCAATCTGGTTGTGTGCAACGTCGAGGTGCGTCAACGCCGCGTTGGTCGCCAAGGCCTCGGCGAGCGCGATCGCGCCGACCGCCGTGATGGCGTTGTAGCTCAACACCAGCGTCTGCAGTGACCCATTGGTCGCGAGTGCTGCGCTGAGCAGCAGCAGGCTCTCGTCACGCAGACCGTTGCCGCCCAAGTGGAGCGATTGCACAAAGTACTATACCGTGCACAACTTGTCTGCTACATTGGCGACCGCTTTCGTGACGTACGTTGGTCGCCAATGACAACGTGAGACGGCGCATGTCACCGGCCTGCACGTAGCACCCGCGCAAGTCGATGGCTGTTGGTTGGGGCTGGCGACGCGCGTCATCGTCGTCGTCGTCGACTTGGTAGTACTCGGCCGCCCGGCCACGCGGTGGCACAGTTGCTGCTTTGTCGACAACGCAGTAGCGACCCTAAACACGAGCGCGATCGGTTTCGCGCCTGCTGAGCCAGCACACCTCGCGGTCCCTTGTGATCCAGTCGCCCTGCAACATCCGTGTGCATCAGTGCCCCATTGCCAACGAACGAGCAAGCACCTTGATGTACGCTTTGCCGCTCGGATGCTTGCACACTATCGTACCGTCGCGGGGCATCAGTGCATCGCAGAGCACCTACGAGCATGCCACGAGGTGCGGACGCACGGACGATGCACCTCGCCGAACGCCGTCAGAACCACGTCGTCCGGTTCGAGGCAGCCTTCCCAGCGCTTGGCAAACGGGTCAAAATACACTATGTCCCGAAACGCGAGAACGTCAATGGCCTCTTCGATGCCTACGGTACATGCCCTCGCCGACAAGGCTTTGGGTAAGCCACCAACCTTCACGGAGCGACGCTTGGACGTCGTTCATGTCGCGCCGGTTTCAAGACCAGTTATTTCGCTGGTCACTCCGAGTTATATAGTCCATTTACAACCCCATTTGCTGTTGGCGGTCGAGAGAATGGGTTGGGGTTGTGGATGTTGGGATCGTGTTGGTGCTCGTGGCGGCCACCAAAGGACGAATGAACGAACCTCACTTGCAATCTAGTACGATGCCGCGCTGTCAGTATGTGTCCTGCCCGCGCGATGCAGCGCCGCACTCGACGGCCTGTGCCGTGCACCGCAACCGTGACGTCTGCAGCGTCGACGGCTGCCACAACCAAGCCTTTGCCAACGCGCTGTGTGTCCGCCATGGTGGCCGTGAGACTCCTTCGCCCTCGTAACGCGCTCATCTCGAATGTAACTCAACTCCAAGTTTTTATGGAGAATATTGTCTCTTCTTTGCAGCACTTTTGTGGTGCCATAATTCGACTACGGTCGCGGGCTCAATACATGCATGAAGGCCTGGAGCCGAATAGACGCGGCGAGCGCAAGAAGGCAGAGCACAAAGCTAACGCCAAACATCGGCGTGAAGCAGGAGGCGCCGAGGCACGTCGCGTCGCCATGCGCGGCCCACTTGTACAAGAGAGAGGCAAGGGGCCCCAAGAGGAGGGGGAAACCGACTGCGTTGGCGAGACTGATCAAGCCAAAGTTTTTCCCAATGTGCGATGGACCAAAGAGTTCGCGCGTCACGACGGGAAACATGGCAAAGATGCAGCCTTCCGCGAGCCCCGCCGCGACGATCGGGACGACGAAAAAGCGCGTTGGCACGACCACAAAGAGCACTTGGGTGACCGCCATGGCGAGGACACCCAGCGAGAGGAACCACGCACGCGAGTGGGACGCGCCAAACTTGTCCGAGAGGACGCCCATACTGAGGCGCCCGGCCATGTTGCAGATCGAGAAGATCGAGACGTACATTGGCACGAGGTCAATTGACGCGCCGTCGCTCTGCAAGATGAACGCAATGTTGTTGAGCACAAAGAGCGCCGACCCGACGCCAATCATGACGGGCGCGAAGAGGAGCCAGAACCGCGCGTCCTGCAGCAGCGCCAGCAGCGTTATGTCACTTGTCGTACTTGCCTCGGGGAGAAGAAGCGGCATTGATTCGTCCTTGGGCGGCGTGCGGCGCGGGGGCGGCACGAGCAGCACGAGCCCAAGAAGGCCCATGAGGCCGTGCTCGAGGCTCATAAAGCCAAAGAACCCTGGCACGTTGTGGTCGTATCCGCTATGATAGATGAGCGCAAAGATGGCACCGCCCGCGCTATATGCAGCGAGGAGGAGCCCAACGATCGCGCCGCGATGGTGGTTGCCGTAGATGCCTTCGTTGGCTGCAAGGCCGGCGACAATGGCAAAGCCGCCGGCCTGGCCGACGCCGCCAAAGCAGAGCGCAATGTACCACTTGGGCAAGTGCGGCCGCGCCGCGAGGTAGGAAGCGAGCGCGTAGCAGAGCGTGAGCAAGGCCAGCGCGACAAGCATCGAGAGGCGCGTACCGAACCGGTCGTGGAAAAAGCCCGCCCAGATCGTATTGTACATGCCAAAGCTATAGCACGAGCTCACAAAGGCAATCTCGGTTTGCGTCATGTTGAGCGTCTCCTTGAGCTGCCCGTTCCAAGCAGATATCGAGTACGACGAGCCCAAGGACGCGTAGATGATGACGCCGGCGACGACGCTCAAGGCGCGGCGCACGGCGTTGACCTCGGTGGTCCGTGCGATCATTTGACTTTGTTGAATTTGCACTTGCTGTGTTTGACCCAGAGAACGGCCAATCAGAGCGCGTCTATGGACGCCATACAAAACAGCTAGCAACCGTGCCCCGCCTCTCCGATGATGGCACTTGCCGCTTACTACGTACGTTGAGCCGACCGTGGCCGTTGCCTGGTTGTGGATCGTAGTGGACGCTGTGGTCGTCGTCAGTGGGTCCAGTGCTGTCGTGCGTCGGCGTAGCAGGTGCAGTCTTTTTCATACTGGAACCAATCACAGGACTGCAAATCGCATATTTTTGACCAATCCCCGCTGCTACCAGTGTATGTATGCAGTGGATTGCCTGTTTAAAACCGTTTTAAACAGCAGAAAGGCGCCGGATAGTCGGTGTCACCGGTCTGGCCTGCAGTAACCAAGACGCATGGGCCAAGCTGGATCGAACCGCGCCAAGAAGGACGCCAAGGCCATCACCAAGAAGAGCGTCCAGGCCACCAAGATTGAACGCGCCAAGGCGACGGGCATCCTGTCCCTGCACGGCTGTAAGCTCAAGCGCATCCCGGATGACGTGTTTGCCATCGAGAAGCTCAACACGCTCGACCTCTCCAACAACGAGCTGGTCGAGATTCCAGCGGCCATTGGTCAGCTCATCAACCTCAAGACGCTCAAGCTCGATAGCAACCAGCTCGCATCACTGCCGGACCTCTCGGCCTTGACCAAACTGACCAACGTAGCAACTCATGCTGTGCCATGGATCTCACTGTGTTGTTGCTGCATAGCTCGTGCTCGACAACAACAAACTAGCGTCCTTGCAGGCGCTGCCGCCAGCGCTCATTAAGCTCAGCGCCCGCAACAACCAGCTCTCGGGACTGCCACCGAGCCTGTGCAGCTTGGCCCATCTCGAGGTTGTGGACGTGAGCCAGAATCAAATCGCCTCGATCCCGTCGGCGATTGCAAGCTGCTTGAGCTTGAAAGAGCTCACGCTCGACGACAACCGCCTATCTCAACTGCCCACCGCGCTCTCGCAGTGCGCCAAGCTTAAAGCGCTTTGTGTGCGGCGCAACCGGCTCGGGCCGCAGTCGATCGCCGCTTCGATCCTCGCGACGTCGGCCGTGCACATTATGCAGCTCGAGGGCAACCCGATGACCAAGTTTGACTTGGAAGCGATGGACGGAGTCGACGCTTTTCTTCTCCGGCGCAAGGAACTCAAGGACAAGGAGCTCCACGGCGGCCTCCACACGGACGTGGCGCTCTGCGGCCTCGACTAAATCGACGACTAACTACAATCCGCTTCTTCTATTGTCCTCTATCGGTGCGTACTACATGCAAAGCATACATCACTCTCAGCTGAGTGGAATCGGCTCAAGGCGCGCTTGTTGCTTCTTGGTCGGACTTCGCGCCGGGCTCCCGAGCGATGGCACGGCCGGGATCGACTTGGTCGCTTCTTTGCGCACCTGAGCAATCGCACTTCGCGGCGCGTCGAGGTCGTCCTTCTCGGGCGCCGACGTGGCGCGCGTCGACGCCGACACTTGCGGCAAGAGGTCCACCGACGACTGCGTGTGCCGCCCAGGCCCAAGGAGTTCGTGGGCATGCGGCCCCAGCAGCTGCTTGTTCTTTGGCGGGTCGGCGTCCTTGAGAAACACGAGCGATCCGAGGACCACGTCCAATGTGCACGCACGGGGCGCGGACGTTGCAATCACTTGGGCCTTCTCGGTCTCTTGCTGCGCGGCTTCCGCTGCGTCGTCGAGCGCAAAGAGCTCGGCGATCGCGTCATCGATCGTGACAGTCGCCGACACCTGCGTCTACAAGCATTGACATCAGAACGCGCCCTGTAGAGAAGGGATATGTACCCAGTCGGCGAGCGTGCCGTGGTGTCGCGTCACTTGGGTCGACGCCTGGAGCAAATGCGACACACCACGGGGCTTTAAAAAGAGTGTCGGGCCCGCGACCGCCATCATTTTCTCCATGACAGCTTCCGAGAGCGCCGTGTTCTCCAAGCTCGCGGCCATCGCTTCGATCAGCCCGGGCGCCATGATGTTCGAGTCCAAGTGGGACGACATGGCCTGGAGCGCAGTCGCAATGATGTGGCACTTCATCGGGGCATTCGGACCCGTCGCTCTCTGTCCAAGCGCAATCAGTGTCTTGATGCCATCGTGGTGAATCAAAATGCCACGCGCGCGCCGGTGGCAGCTTAAGTTGTACAACGTGACGATTGTGTTTTCGCGCGTGTCGGCGACGCGGGAGCCCGCCATGGCGAGGATGATGGGGATCGCATGCGCTTGGGAGGCGACCCGCGCGCGGTTGATGTCGTGTATAAAGACCTTGGTTTGCGTGTCCTCCTTGATCACCGTGCCATCTTTCTTGCTCGTGAGGTTGCGCAGTGTGACCATGCAGTGGTACGAGAACTCTTCGCTCAGGCGCGCAATCACCGCGCCGAGCGTCGCGCTCTCGTCGTCGTCGTCCATGACCATCGCCACGATCGTCTCCATGACGCCGTCGGCCAACATCTTTTCATGGCACTCGGCGTTCTTGGAGAGGACGCTGAGACACGAGACGATGTCGAGGCGCGACGCATCGAGCACCTCGAGGGCTTCTTTCGGTAGTCCGGTGGAGCCCCGGGTCGGCGGATGCGCGGCTGCGAGCGCTTTGGCGTGCGCACTTTGCTGTTTTGCGATCGCGTGCAAGGCCCGGACGATGCCGTCGTTGACCAAGTCCATCTCGACGCCTTGGTTGCGACAGAGGAGGCAGAGCAGCTCGGCGCACGCCGGCCCGATCTCCGGGTCGGTGGCGCTGACCATGAGCACCGAGAGAATCTGGACGCCGTGGCACGCAACGAGCTGGAGCTGGTTGGCGGGCTCCGTCATGAGGTTTCGAAGCGCCGTGACGCAAAGGCCGAGCGTGATGTCGCAAGAGAGTCGCTGGAGGAGGTCGCAGAGCGATGGCACCATCGCATCACGTGTCATGGCGTCGACGCCAACGCGACTCGCCGACAGATTAGCAATAGCGCCGGCGCTGTACCGGCGAATGTCTTTGCTTTCGGCCCGCGTGAGCGAAATGAGGAGCCCGACCACGTGGCCGTCGTCCTTGAGCACGAGGTCGCGCACGTCAACGTTGCACGTTACGTTGCAGAGGACATGGGCGCAGTAGACGCGCGTCTCGGGGTCGCGTGTCTTGACAAGCGATGTGAGAATCGCGAGCGCGCCTTCGTGCAGCAGTTGGAGCTCGTGCCCCGATACAGCACTCACGTTGCTGAGGATACCGCAAATGAGCCGCTTCATCTCTTTGCTGTAGTCTTGCGCGTACATGCCCGAGAGAATCCGGACGATCTCCATGTCGACGAGGCGCGGGACTTTAGTAGGCTCGAGCGAAATGTTGTAGATCGACCGCAGACAGAGCTGGCGAATGTCTTCCATGTCGAGCTTGGCGAGCTTGATGAGCGCGTAGAGCGCGCCGTCGACGACGAGCTTTTCGCGCGTGTCGTCGTGGGCGAGGAGGTTGAAGAGCACCTTGGCGCAAATGACCTTGGTCTTGTCGCTGTTGACGCGCAGCAAGGCGACGACGATGAAATCGCTGACCGTCGACTCGGCCCACACCCGGCCTTTCAACGGCCCCCGCTAATTCAACGTGGGTTGGAAAATGAATCAGAAAGGAGACGGACGCATACCTCGATCGCGAGGTTGCAGAGACCGATCGCTGCGCAAATCTGCGTCTCGTGGTGGCCCGTCCGCATCATCGCGTTGAGCCCGGCCGCGACTTCGCCGTGCTTGCCGAGCAGCCGGCGGCCCCGCATCGAGCACGACATATTAGCGAACGCGAGCGCACAGCGCAGCGTCGTGATCGTGCCGCTGAGGTCGGTTCGAGTCGATGAGTTGGTAGCAATGGTCTACGGCGGCCATGAGTTCGATGCATCGACCAGCGGTGCGGCATCTACCGGGCTCGACGCGAGAGCGAGAAGGGCCGTGAAATACCCGGCATGTTCCATGGCCGCATCCCCGAGCTTGCACAGCATTGACGCAGCGTACGCCTGTGCGCGGGCAAGAAGCGCTGCCGACGCCTTGTCCTTGACGACACTGTTGACCTACGCATGTCGCGCGTCCTTTTCTGCGCGCCAAGAAGCTATAACTCTACCTGGATGAAGTGAAGGACCGAGTCGACGGCGCCATCGTCGACCAAGATGTGGCGGCTGCCTTCGTGCGTGGCCATGTTGGAGAGGAGCGCGAGTGCGTGCATAAACATCCGGTGGCTCAAGCTCGCTTGTTTCTCTTGGATGGGTTCATGCAGCACTGCGATGGCGACCGACTGCGTGCCTTCTTTAAAGAGCGCAAGCGCGTTGCTTCCGTCCATCGAGAGGTGGTAGAGCGCACAGAGACACGCCGCGCGGAGCTCGGGGCGCTTGATGCAACGATCGGCGAGGTTCATGAGCGCGACAATGACGCCTTGTTCGACGAGCTTGGCCTTCATGCTCCCGTCCATGGCCAAGCTCAAGAGCGCGAACGCACACGACTTTTGGATTTCAGGGTGGTCGTCTTCCGAGTAGGCGACGAGCGCCGGCACGACACCGTCGTCGACCATCTCCTTGTACGTTTCCGGGTGCAGCATGAGGTTACAGAGCGCGACGACGCAGTCTTGCTTGACGAGCATGTCGGGCGCCGCCATGAGGCCAATCAGCGGCGCGACCGCGCCGTCCTGGACCATTTGAACGCGGCAGGCTTCATGGGACGCAAGGTTCGAGAGGCTCAAACTCACGTGGCGCGTCGTATCGTCGTGCTTGAGCTCCAGTAAGAGGAGGAGGCGCGGGACAAAGTTGGCGCCCACGACGCGGGCTTGGAGCTTGGGGTTGCAGCTAAAGTACGCCAAGGTCGTCGCACACTGCATGTGGATATCGACCATTACGAGCTCGTCGCCCGTCATGGAGGCGTTGCCAATGTAGTTTGGGTCCGACATCTTGGCCTTCTTGGCGTAAAAGCGGCGATAGTCAAACGACGATGACGTCTCGGTCTCGGGCGTCGGTTTGCGGCAGAATTGTGGCAAGTTGAAGAGCTCGAGGAGCACCGCGAGCGCGCCGTTCTTGAGCATACTTTCTTGGTTGGCGCGCACGGCCGCGAGGTTGCAGAGGACGCACGAGGCGAGCTGACAGACAGCCACGCTGCGGTACGAGCAGAGGATCTTGAGGGCGAGGATCGCACCGTCTTCGACGATATTTGCCCGCGTCGTCGCCATGATCGACATGTTCAAAAGCCCTCGGGCACACACCTACGTTCACGGGGAAGTTGCATGTCGCCAACTTGATGTCACGTCGAGGGTACCATGTTGGAGTCGGGGCGGTCGACTTTGACGAGCGAGATGAGCGCGCTCATGACCGTGTCGCTCGACGTGCTCCGCGGTACGACCGAGAGGTTGATGAGCGACTTCATCGCGAGTTCCTTGATCTCTTCGTTGGGCAACGACAGCATCTGCAGCAGCACCATGACGCTGCCTTCATGTACGAGTCGAAAGTGGGCCTCTTCGTCGCCCGTAAAGCGAAACAGCGCATGCGCGCAGTAGAGCTTGGTCGTGCCATTGTTGGTGTGCGCCAGCTCCAGCACGGTCGAGATCGCGCCTTGCTCCACCATGAGTGCGCGCGCAGACTGGTGCGTCGTGAGGTTCTGGAGGGCGGCCGCGCAGTAGAGACGAATGTGCGTATCGTCGATCGTCGGCGGGCTCTTGATGAGACCCGTGAGGATCGGGATGGCGTTTTCCGCTACACATGAGCTTCGATATGCGGTGCATGGACGTAGGAACCGTCTACCTAGCATTTGAAGCTCGTTGTTGACGTAGCACGACACGTTGTAGAGGCCCTCGGCGCACTTGAGCTTCATATCCCGAGAAAAGTTGGCCGACACGTCCTTCTCGTGCTCAATGTTGGCGACGAGCCCTTTTGCGAGGTGGTGCGCATGCTGCGTCGCGGCCGTCGACTTGGCCAAGCTCGAGTCGCTCGTCGAGTTGAGGAGCTTCTGACGCTGCTTGGACTTGTCCATGCGTGAGAGGTAGATAAGGCCCTACATGGATGGATGCATGGAGGAAGCGGAGGCATGGGACTGTACCTCGTCGTAATGACCTCGCGTGTAGAAGAGGTCGCCCATCGACGGCGGTGCGCTCTCGGAGAGCATCTGGATCGAGTGCTCGTTCTCGTCCAGCGTCAGGTCGGCCGTCGACTGCTGGTACTCGTCGACCTCGTTGACCTTGCGGAACTTTTCTTGGGCGTCCTGGCGCCGCTTCTTGTTGGCAGCCTCGGTCTTGATGTGCTGGAGGAGCGCGCGGACAAGGTCGTCCTTCTCTGGGTGGTCGCGCCAGAAGCCGCGTTGCCGATGGAGCTTCCAGTGCTTGACGAGCTCCTTGAGCTCCTCGATGCGGATCGGCGAGTTGCGCGGGTCCCGGTTCCGCGGGAAGAGGTTGTACTTGATGAGGTAGACGCGCAGCCCATCGATCTCCTGGTCCCGCCGGAGCGCGGCCAGCCGCTGCTCCATGTTCTGGGCGCACTTGGGCGCGATCATCGCCGCCCCGGCTGAATATCTATCTTTGCAGCAGTTTCGACCTCGACCGGATATGTATCCGGATAATCTGTGAAAAACGGTGTGGAAAACACGTGTGTGTTTTGATCGAGGTGAGCCACTGTCAGTCCAATCGATGCAGATCTGGCATACTAGAACTGTCACGAGAGGTATGTATGGCGATGACGGTGTCGGGTCGTCGTAATACCTCCTGCTAAACCAACAAGCTCCAATGGGACGGTTGCGCGCAAGGCGAAGCGCCGCGTCAACTGATGTCCTTGAGTGGCTGGTGTTGTTCTCTCCTTGCAAAACGGGAATGCTCACGACCAATGCTTGTGTTCATGTACCGAGGTGCTGCTGTGCTCTCCACGCTTCTTGTCTCTGGTTGAACGTACTGCGAGAAGGGTCGACATGTGCAAAGTGGTTCGGAATCGTTCTCGTAGGCAAGGAGCCATGAGATAGCATTTCTCGACCCTTGTCGTAGGGCGACAGAGCATCGAGAACGTCATGGAAGAGAAGCGCCGCAATGACTAGTACCTTGAGACTCGACAGCGTCCCTTTCGCCTTGGCGATGGACGCCGAGGTGTGGAAAGGCGGTTGCTCGAAACGGTAGGTCATTTTACACGGTGGGAAATCCGTATCGCGGTGACCACGTGGGTTTTGTGCAGATCATTGGCGATGAGCAACACGAAGCGCAACAAGTCGGGGACCGTCGAGGACGACGACGACGTGGTCGTCTTCAACGCAGCCGCGTACTCGGTCGTGGCCTCCTGGATCAAGCCGACCAAGGACGACGACGAAGCGGACGCGCGCCTGCTCAACAAGAAGCCGCTGTACACGGGCGCGCCGTCGATGACGGTATGCATGCGTCCGCCGCCACATGCACATGCCCATGCGGCGTGCGCTCTTGTAGGACGAAGACAAGCTCTTGGCCTCCAAGATCCTCAAGAAGAAGCGCCCCGAACCTGTGGATGTCGCCAAGGTTGACGAGAACGACGAGAACGACGATGAGGACGAACTCCAGCGCGGCCGCGGTGCGCCGACCAAGAAGCAGCGCTTTGTGAGCCCGCAGGAGCAGCTATTGCAATCCCTTCGCGAGCAGCAGGAGAAGCGGCGGCTAAAGAACAAGAAGAAGCAGAAGAACAAGGCGAAGCACTCGACGTAAGATATGAACAAAGCACAGGTTGATAGAGAATGCACTCGACGACGCACAACGCATTGGCTCGCCCACGCATCGAACCTGCATAGGTAGCCTCCCACACGCCATCGATCCATGCCACGAGGACGCGTGCTTCAGCGTGCATGTACCGTCGGCGCCTGTCTGGAGCGGTCCGGCAACGCCAGATTGGCTTCTATGGACTTGCACCCTGTTTCCGGCGACGATGTGGAGGGCGTCCTTGCAATACCACAGTGCTAGCGCGCGTAGGCTGGCCTGCGGCATCGTAACACCACGGCGTGTCGCCTCGGCCTTCGTCGACGAGATGCTGCCACGTGGCATGCCCGACAGGAGTCGCTTGCACGCACTGGACATCATAATACTTTATTGATTTCGCACGTGACGTGGCGTGGCCCACGTCGACACGTACCCCGATCCTTCCTTGTGGTGCTGGCTTACTCTTCGGCGTCCTTGACCGTGGACGTGATGTAGTGGAACGCGACAAGGCCGACCGTGATGAAGATGCCAAGCGCATTGACGAACTGCATGAGCGCAGCATCCATTTCTTCGCTAAGCAGATGGAGGAAGCATGAGGCGGTCATGGCCTGCAGGAACGACGACGACATGCATGGCGAACGTACTTGGTCATTGCGGAAGCGGGAGCAAGAAACTCAAAATGGGAGGTACAAAGGACGTAACCGGATAATCCCGCTGCATCCGGATCGATCCACGTGTAATCGTGCGCTGCGGCTTTGGCTTTATCAACGCGTCTTAGCGAAAATGCATACAAATTCCTAGCTTTGGTCTAATCTGCGAGAAAGCGTCAAGCCTAAATTGGCGTGCAAATAGACATACAAAACATGCGGTGGGTGCTGGCCACACGCCTCCTTGGACGCACCTCACGCCGAATGGAGCTCTCGACGGTTGCTGCGGCGGGCTTTGCGCCATCGACGCCTCCCCACGCGTGGACCCCAGAGACGTTTGCGTCCTACTTGGCCAACGAGACACCCAAGTTTATCGCATTCGTTCACAACAGCTTGCTGGCGCTCCAAGCGTCCGGCATGCCACCTGCGCCTCCTCGACAAGATGCAGATCGAGCAAGCGTGTGAGTGGACTTTGGACCACGTCTGCTACCGCTGCGAAGAGGAGGCCGAGTACACGCACTTGGCGCGCACGGTCTTGCCCACCATGGGTACGACAATCATAGCAACCGTGTGATGCGATGCCCATGGTAGCGACGCTGCTCGTCGAGTCGGAGGTCGGCGGCCGCCCCATCGCGACGTTCAAGCTCCACGCTGCGATTCCACTTGCAGGCGGCCGCAGTGTTGATGTGCTCGAGGTCCCGATGCCCAAGCGCGGGTCCTTCTACAAGCGCGGCCTCGAGCACGCCGAGATCGTTGTGCCCTACGACCTCGTCCAGTTTATCAAAGCGCAAAAGAACGATGCGATCGTGTGGGATCTCAAAGGTATCCTCACCCGCTGCCTCTCTTCCTGCCGTAATGGACCATGGTGTAGGCATGGCAAAGGACTTCAACCGTGAGGCGCGAATCGCCCTCGGCGCCAACTATAGCGTCAAGTTCCACGAGCAGACGCT